CAGATCTGAAGATGATGCAAGATTTTCATGTTTTTTCTCTCTCTCTCTCTCTCTCTCTCTTTCTCTCTCTCTCTCTCTCTCTCTCTCTCTCTCTCTCTCTCTCTCTCTCTCTCTCTCTCTCTCTCTCTCGCTAATATTGGGGAAGTTTCGATCAACTTAACAAATGCAGAAAGGATCAGTGTAATAATCGGTTTATTACAGAAAAAAAAATCACTCCCTGTTGCCTGCAGTTTTGGCAACAATGGCGAAGTGTCACATTTAATAACTCTAATAATTCTAAGGTCTTAATTATAGAGTCGCCGTGCGTTGACTCCCGATAATTGGCAATTTTCCGCCATTTTGGATATCTACCGCTATATCCATTCCCTAGGTTTTTAATGGGCTAACTGTACGGCACAAGGATAATAAAGAGAGAGCGAGCGAGAGAGAGAGAGAGAGAGAGAGAGAGAGAAAGAGAGAGAGAGAGAGAGAGAGAGAGAGAGAGAGAGAGAGAGAGAGAGAGAGAGAGAGAGAGAGAGAGAGAGAGAGAGAGAGAGAGAGAAAGATAGAGAGAGAGAAAGATAGAGAGAGATTGATAGACAGATAGAGAGAAAGAGAGAGAGAGAGAGAGAGAGAGAGAGAGAGAGAGAGAGAGAGAGAGAGAGAGAGAGAGAGGTGGAGGGGGGAGGGGGAAAGTCGTAAAACACAAGATTGAAATTTGAAAATTGGAAAGTTTATGGGAGGCTAAACTCAGTACATCCCAGTGAAGTAATGATGACAGTGAGGAGAGTGAGAGGGGGGGGGGGGGGGGGATATGGAAATGAGAGAGGACAGTTCTGAGAGGGAGAGGGACAGAGTAAGTGTGTGAAGTGAGTAAGAGGGAAAGAGAGTGATTGAGTGAGTTACTAGGAGAGAATGATTGACAGTGAATATCTGAGAGTGAGTGAGTGAGGAATGAATGAGTGAGTGGATGAGTGAGTGAGAGTGAGTGAGTGAGTGGATGAGTGAAAGTGGGTGAAAGAGAGAGAAGTAAATTAAATCAAAAGAGAACCAAGCTAACAAAAAAGAGACAAACAGAAATGTGAAAAGTGAATACCAAGTAGATAAGATTAAAAAAAAGAAAAAGACGAAAGATAGAGAGAGAGAAAGAGATAAAAACCGGTAGCTGCTAAGATTAATTAAGGTCCACGAAGGGTGGAAAGTGAGTTGTGTGAAAAAGGGGAAGTGAAGAAAAGGAGGAGGAGGAAGAGACAGAAGAAGGAGATATATGAAGATGGAATAAGAGGTGGAAGAAAGGAAGACGATTGAAAAAAAGGATAGGAGAGGACAGGCAAAATAGAAGAAAAATGAGAAGGGGAGAGACTCACGAACGATAAAGAGAGAAAAAAAGGAGAAAGAGGGGAGGCGATAATGGAAGAACATATAAGAACAGATAATAGGTTTAGGATGCGTGGAAAAGGGAGGGATGAGGGGGGGGGGGGAGAGAAGGAGAGAGAGTGGGTATAATAAGGGATGGGGGGGGGTCAGGCTAATGAGGTCGCCAGCATGGATGCTCGTTATTCATTCATGAGGTTTTCCATTACACGTAAAAAGGCGTTGTGATGATGGTACACTTATAATTGCTGGTGGTTTGTTTTCTCATATAGTTTTTTTTTTACATCCTCTCCTTCTTCTTTCTTCTCCTATTTTTTCTTTCTTTCTTTATTCCTTTCTTTCTTCATTTCCTTCTCCTCCTAATTTTGTTCTTGTCCATGTTGTTCATAGCGTTATTATCCTCTTTTCTTCTAGTCTTCTCATTTCCTTTTCTCCTTCTGTCATTTTCTTTATTTCCCTTCGCTTCTTCTTTCTCTCTGCACCTTCTTTCTCTCTTATCGTATTTTCCTCTTTCTCTCTCCCCTCTCCCTTCCTCCTGTTTTCCCACGAGGAATTAGAGTATGGAGCCCAGTCACGGCAGAAATCATCTTGGACACGCCTTTCTCTCATCTCTCTCTCTCTTTCTCTCTCTCTCTCTCTCTCTCTCTCTCTCTCTCTCTCTCTCTCTCTCTCTCTCTCTCTCTCTCTCTCTCTCTCTCTCTCTCTCTCTGTATGTATATACACATACACATATATACACACACACATATGTATGTATGTATATGTATGTATGTATATGTGTACGTATATATATATATATATATATATATATATATATATATATATATATATATATATATATATATATATATGTATGTATATCACGCAAGGGCTGAAACTCAATGATCTATGTACATAACAATTCCCGATCGGGGACGCGGGAGGTAAATAGGAGCATCGATAACATGTTTGTGCGGGAATGAGTCAGTCTCCCTCTCCCCTTCCCCGCTGTCTCCACCATTCCCGTCCCTCCCCCTCCCCCTCCCTGTTACCTCCACCATTCTCGTCCCCTCCCCTTCCCTCCCTGTTCCCTTCACTAGTCCTTTTTTCCCTTCCACTTCCCCGTCCAGCCTCTCTCCTTAATAGCTCCTCCCGTCTCCAACTCCCC